CGGTGCCGGCCGGCCGGCCTCGTCGCCGCGCCGAAGCCTTCCCGGCTCGCTTCAGCTTTTGTTTGAAAAACATCTTTTCCCTCGTAACTCAGGGAGCGGCCGCCACTGGGATGGCAGAACAAGAAATGACTTATTTTTCGTCGCCTTAATGGGCGTCTCGATGCGCTACTCTCTCTTTAGACAGCCCATCGCTACTCTCTCTTTAGACAGCCCATCGCTCGTAAAGTGGTTTTGTTTCAAACAGTGCTCTCGGTACCGGGTAAGACGACGTACCTCACCTTACCCGGAAGGTTGTGCTGCAAGGGATAAGCATAATTTTACTAAGGTTTTGATTTGCTGTGTCGGAAAGGTCCAGGCCTTTTTTTTTTTTTTTTTTGCAGTAGAGAGAATGTATCACTGTGGAATCATTTTATATAGATTTGGGGATTTCTTTCATACTCAATTTTATACCCATGGTGAAGAAAAGATGCATAAACTTCTCCAAGACCTTGCAGGATTGCACAGTGTTTACCTGTCACAAACAAATGCACAAGAGGTTAGATTAACCCGTCTCAAACTCTCAGGATAAAACTGAATTTTCTTGGGGTATTTGGACTTGGTAGAAAACTTGAATAGCACAGTCAGAATAGCATGAGTGTTCAGTTATATCAGCAAAGACTCTCTCCTACTTTTTTTCTGTTTACAATGCTTCATGTTATCTTACATTTAACATATTTTTCTATCACCAGGTGCAAGGTTGGGGTAAAACTGCTCCATTTGCCAGACTTCAGCTGCAAAAACAAGCCAAGAAATCAAAGGCAAATGAAACTGTCAGCAGCTGCCTCTTTTGCTCAGACATGTTGCAGCCTATTGACAAAAGTTTAGGCCAAGAAGTCAAGACTAGAAGAAATCAGCCAAAATCTGACGGCAAGTTAGGTGTAGATGCTATAGCTGATTCAGCTTCAGAGGAGATTTCAATCCATTCTAGTAAGCCTAACTGTTATCTTAAAACAGATGGCGTTAAAACAGAAATACGTCACAGCAAGATACACTCTGTTCAAACATCCCGAGGTGAAAAGAAGAACCTGCCAATAAAGGAATACTGTATGTGGAACCTAGAAGACGTGAAAAATCCAGAAGCTGTGAGGCATAAAGAGATAAAACCCCAGGGGCTTAATATGCTTGATCCAGATGGCTCTGGATCTTTGGCTTCAAAGTCTTCACTACTATTTCCACCCGTGAAGGATGCCACTCCCAATGATACTTCAGACTTTTCTTGCAAAAATAAGAAGGCCGTTATCTCTCAGAAGATGCTCAATGATACTTCAGTTGAGATTGCTTCCTATAGTCAGGATGCTAAAGTTGTAGAACAGAAGGGTAAAAAAGGAACTGATGTCATCAATGACAAAGTGAAGGAAAAAATAGAAATTCATGAACCACCATCTTTTGCGCCAAGCCATACAAAGGTCGCCGTCCTGCAAGAAGATCCTGAGCAGTCACACTGGCATTGCGCTCCTGCAGCAAACAAAAATATTGCAACCATCTCTAATCCTACTGCTTTGAAGAAGAACAGTCATCATGCCTGTAAGCAGATTCCACATACGGAAGGAATACAACATACAAAACATTATGATATCCAAGGCTCTTTAACCAACAATGTAAGGAACAGATATGCTGAGGTCAAACAACAAAAAGAAGCAAAAATGCAGGAGGTCCCACCACTTTCTGGACTATTGCCTTCCTTAATGGTCAGCCGCGTTGCAAGAACTACACTGCCATCTAGACTGACCTAACATTTTTATATTGTAATTTAATGCCTTTTGTTTGTCTGTTTGCTGTACAATGAGGGGGGAAAAACCTGAAGATTTCCTTGTGAGCAATCTGGATATATGTAGCCTCTGTAGATGCTATTAATAGTGTTATAAGCTGCTGATGCCAATTACTTTCACATAGGTTTAGTTTCTTCTTGACTAGTAGATAGCCCATTAGAGCCTTAAATAGCTTATTCTGGGGATGAACTGCAACCTCTTCATTCAAGGATGGAGTCTGAATGACTAGTGTAGTCTAGCATGGTATTTAGGTATTTGATTCCACTAAGCACTGGAGCAATGCCTAACTTTAAGAACATTCTTAAATCCATGCCTACTCAGCAAGGTATTTAAGAATATGCTTACCTTAAGCAGTGATTAAATCCTATTGAACTTCACAGACTTTTGCATACATTCTCTGCTAATTTTGTACCTAAAAGAGAAGCAGAAATAACCTGGAAAGCAAACAGCGTTGGGACTGGAAATTATTTACAATTATTTGCTCTTACTAGTTTTTAATATACTTTTTTTTTTTTTTTTAATTCTGGTAATTTATTCTGGTAATTATAATATAATTATTATTATTATTTAATTCTGGTTTTATTTGCTTGTTTCTCCCAACAAGCATGCAGACTTTGTTTCATCTCATAGTAAATAGAGGGACTTTAGATCAAATTCTGTTTTGTTTTTGTGTTAACATAACAGCTTTTTACAAATCAGAGAAAAATAAGTCCATAGATAGATAGAATTGATAGATAGATAACTGCAATTGGATTGTAATAGCTTCCTCACGTGCGCAACAAAGAGCATGCTCCTTAGCCTTCAGGACAGAGATATACGGGAACTTACCCTCTCCCTCTTGATGCCTTGATGG